GATAACTGTAAGTTTCAAAAGTTGGAATCATTAACTAGGTTAAGGACTGCATCGTAAATAAACAATGTAAGAAATAAAAAGAAATATCAACATCTGAATCAACTTCTTCTCTCAGTGCATGTGTTTATGTTGAAGACTCTCCATTCACAGATTCCCTCTCTGCTGTGTAGAAAATCATAAAAGGTACTTCTTGTCCTTGATCCCCTCTAAGGCTTGGAGCAAGAGAAGATGGAACTGGAACTCATAGGGACAATTATTATCTTTTTTCTGCTTTCAGAGCTAAGGAGAGATAGTTAAACCAACAGGATACTCTTTATCTCCTTCTGAAATTATGGCAGAATTATGACAAGAACATGAACAGGCCTAGAATCTGAGTGTGCCTGATTATTTGTTTGAAATAAAGTCATGTGGGACAATAGTGATACCTGTCCTTCTGCAGTGCAACACCTTTGTGTGCCTTAAGAGCAGCAAAAGCTACACTAAGATAATATAATGCACACAATAATTTGAATATGTTGCAGTCCTTCTAAGTATATATTAATGTGGAAAACTGTACTACAAAAGTAAAGGTAACAGAATTACTCCCTTATTTTGACTTCTTCAAAGAAATAGGCATTTCAGGTATGTAAGAACCACTGATCTGGAGTGTAGCTGGTGATCAGCAGAGTGAGTAGTAGCTGTGAATAATTCAAAGGCTTAAACTTCATTGCCAGCCAGACAAAAGGTAATCACTGAAACTAGGACAGAAAATAGGAAAATTTGGATGAAACACAATTTAAAAAATAATTTCTGAGCTACATTTCTTGAAAATCTAAAATTCTAGGCAATTGCAATTGAATATTCTTATTCTGTCAATTCTTTTATTCTGGATATATTGCAGTGACAAGTGCTCATCTCACTATCTGAAACAAGTATTTTTTTGGAGCAGAGTTGAAGAGCAAATAATCTGAACTGATTCTATTTAGCAAGTTTTTAGAAAAAGCACCAATTTACTGTATTACAAAAAGAACATATCCAGCACACCTATTAATCCTTGTAACTATTCTCTTGTATTTCTAAGAAAAGCTTGGCTGTCATTGTTGCAGATTAGTAGCATTCAAGCCTAGTAAAACAACAGATTCCTGTGAAAACAGGGACTCAGCATGCACAACAGTCACATTTTAAGCTTCAGCATTTTAGGTATTTTTAATCAAAAAAAAAAAAAAAAAGAAGCCCACCATAAACCAGAAGACCAAGTTAACTGAAAGGACCAGTAGGGTAATCTAGAAATTCTTTCTGAGAAGAATCACCAGTCTGAAAAAGAAATCAAAGCCACTTTACATTACTTTTGCTTAGAACCTCCATGACTTCAAAAACGAATTTATTTTAAAGTTTGTAAAAGAAAAAAAGGAAGTGTTGTTGGACTGAGACTTCACTTATCAAGTTTCATCCTAGAGGGAATTTTTATAGCTGAGTTATAAACCCTCCACACTTGAGTGTTTATAATGAAATGCTGACAAATGCGATAATAAACACCAATCATGGGGCCATAGCAGCTGATCAGAGAGTGGATTCAAAAGTTTGCAGTGCTATCATAATATTTTGTTCTGTTTCCAGCACTAGTTTGCTTAAACCTCCTTTCAGGTTCAGCAGCTGTAAAACAAGATCAATCTAACTAGAGATTGCAAAATCATTTGATTATTTATACTTCTCTTCGAAAGCTATGAAATGTCTCTCAAATATGATTTCATTTAGTCTTATTTTTTTGGTTTACATGTCTGAATACTAATTGTAACATGATAGCTTCAAGGGAACTCGAATTTCTACCAAAAGTCGGTCTTCAGTGGCCAAAGAGAACATAAACAAACCAGCCTCAGACCAGGGTCTAAAAATGGGCTATGATCAAACAGCTCTAAGGCTTTAAAAAGCCCCTTATTATCTTTTCCCAGAAGTAATTGAAACACTGTCGGTTTTTGTTGTTAATGCGGTGATAATGGCACTGTGCTTTGGGGAAACCGAGGTGCTGGGCTCAGCCTTGGTGGCAGCGGGGATTCTGAGCAAGGGGAAGAAGGCCCTTCACTCCAGAGGGTGAAATCCAAGCCTTGCTGGAGTTGGCAGCACTTCTGCACTCTGTCCGGGCTGGGGTTTCACTGTCTTCCCAAGCCTGACAGGCTGTTGTACTGCACTGGCTCCACAGAGTAGAATGCAGCTATCTTGGACTGAGACAAGGATTAGGGGAGAAAGGACCCCACAGTTCTGTTATTTCAGCAAGATGGGATTGCACTCCAGCAAGAAGCTTGTCAGCAATGTTCCCATAATTGGTTTATATTCTTACCAGACTAAGCTTCCAGGATTTCGACACATCCACAGGGCCGAGGGATGGGTCAGTATGGCATCTTGCTGTTTCACTGAGCTCTTCAGGGGTGTAAGGACATGCTTTAGTTTCAACAGTTCCTTGGAAAAAATTGCATTTAGACTGCTTTTTTAGAAAAGCATGAAACAAACAACCAAACAAAACAGTCTATTTCATCAGGTTCTAAGGTCATATAAATCAATGTGTGGCTCAGGTGCAGCTCAAAACACATCTTGGTATTTTTTCTGTGCTGTTTACATATTGTGTTCTTTGGCTTATACCACAACTTCATTTTTTATTTCTAGTGTTTTTAGCATCAGTGGCTCATATAAGAATGTTACTACTGCTCATATTGCTACAAAATTTCTAGTGATCCTTTAGAAATCAGGATTCATAATGCAAGATCCATTTGTATTTAAAAATAAAATGTAATATATCCTTTCTGCTTTTCTCCAGTCTCTAACACAAGTATGAAAAAAACCCCAAACTTGGATCTTGAACAAATTCCAGTGTTTTGTTATTAAACCAAGAAATGAAAACCAATAATTTTTGAATTATCTGTTACAGACATGTTTACATTATGAATCTCCTAACTTAAGACTCTATGTGCTATAGAGTTCTAATTTTATCCAATGATATGAGCAAGAAATATTGTGAAAAGTTATATAATCATACTGTGAGAGATCATAGAGAAATGGTGGTAAGAAGTGAATATTAAATTGCATATTTCATTGTCCTTAAAGAATTTTTATTCATCATTTTGCCTGAGATGATGGTAACTAAAGTGAGATTGGGTTATGCGAACTATTGTTGATTTTGGAACATTGTTCATACATAGTTCCTTCTTTCGTTTTATTTTTAGGAAAAAAAAAAAAAAGAAGGAAAACAAACCCCAAAACAACACAAAACCATCTGAGGAGGTGAAACCCCCCCAGTTCCTAGAAAGGATCCAGCTGCGCTAACTATCCAACTGCCTCTCGGAAAAAAAAAGCATTTTGACAAATGGAGAGCAGATGCAATGTGTGGAGTCAGAGAGGTCAACAAAAACAAGTAGAAAAAGAAACCAAGGAAACAAGTGAAAAGAGAAAGAATATTAGAGTATTAATACAGGATATTAGATCTCTCATGATAACGTTAAAGTGAACAGAACGAGAAAAAGAAGAAGAATGACCCCAGAGATGACAAAACACGAGAGAAGAAATAAGAGACTTAGGATCCTAGGAATACGAGGCTGAATCCAGGGTAAATCTTGATTTTACTAATATCACGGTAATTTTATATAATGGAGACAAAAGCTGTCCTGTGAAGCCACGCAGACCCACGGCCCTGAATGGGCAGTTGAATGCGAGTGGAGCGGCTCTGAGCGGGCTGGCCGCTGCCCGTCCGCTGCGAACGCGGGGAGAAATCCCGGTCTTCCCCAGCAGCAGCAAAGGAAGGGTCAGCAGCAGAGGGAACTGGGGAGGGGAGATGGAAGGGAGGGCAGAGGCACAGCGAGATGGGTCGGAGGGGCTTCTAGGGGAGACCCTGGGCCCCGCTCCCAGCCCAGTCACGGCCGCCTCCCGCCGCTGCCGCTCTCCCCGCAGCTCGCCCCTCTCCAGAGATGCCTGCGAAGGCTCCAGTAGGTAACGCTAGACAGAGGTCCCCGGGGTGGACCCTATCTATGTCCCCAGGCTATGCCCGACTCGGGTTTCCTCCTTTCCTCCCGCTCCAGCTTTTAAGAATGTATTTCATAGTTTTTATTCCTTGTAAAGTCGAAACGTGGCGTGCGTGTGTGTGTCCGTGCGTTTGTAAGGGAATGCGCGGTGAGAGAGAAAACGTCTCCGCTTGACGTCCCCAAAACCAAAGCCCACAAACTCACAAGTGTTCTCTCTCAGGAGGGCGCAGACGGCTCCCCAGGCTGGCCCCGCCGGTGCTCGGAAGGCTGTGGAGCATCCCGGACAGCCGCACCTCGCCCCGCCGGGCCGGGCCGGGCCGGGCGCTCCTGCACCAGCTCCCGCCCGGTGCCAGCGACGGCGCTGGCCGCCCACACGCAAGGACAGAGCCGTTCCCGGGAAGAAAATCGTGACAACAAGCGGTTGTATCCAGATGTTCGCCTTCCCTGGCCCCGTGACACACGGCGTGGACTTGCCAGACTGGATTTCAAAGAAAAGGGAGTTGTTGTTTATTTTTTAAAAGGCAGAAAGCGCTGGGTTAAAATGCACAGGCCGAGATTTCCCTGGCAGGCAGCTGGGCAGGAACCGAACCCGCTGGAAACCCGTTCCACACGTTGGAAGGGCTCCACTGCCCCGGCCCAGTCTGTCTCCAAAGCAACAAATTGGAAAGATACTAAAGCAAGCTGGCAACATAACACGAACCAAGGAGCCTTGAACCTTCATTTCCCCCCCACCCCCCCGACCCCGTTCTGTTTACAAAAAATATAAATATTAACAAGTCTGCAACACACTGAGCCTCTCCATCCATCTTCTCCGCAACTCCTCCCGACCTCAGCGCACACTTCTCCAAACATTCCTGGTTTTGCATCCCACACCTACACGGTCCCGGCTGCGGTGTGAGAAGCCGAGGCAAGAGCCACGGATCTGTTTCCCCAGGAGGGAGGCGCCGAGGCCACCTGCTCGCTGTCTCGGGTGATGCCTGGCCCCAGCCGTATCCCGCCGGGCCCGGGCGCTCCCTAGCTCGCCTCCTGTCTGCCGCATCCGTCCAGGAGCTCAGTCATGAAGGAGATGTACACTATGGCCAGGCGCAAGGTCTCTATCCGAGAGAGCCTCTTCTCGTAGGCGAAGGTGGGCACCTTCTTCCTGAGCTGATCAAACGCCTCGTTGAGGTTGAACATCCTCTTCCTCTCGCGTATGTTGGCAGCCTGGCGCTGGGCGTAGGTGATGACTCGTTTTCTCCTAGGTCTGTCCAGGAGGGAAGCGCTGCGCATCCTTTCCTCTTCCTCTTCTTCTTCGTCTTCGGGATCTCCATTTCCAAAAGCAGCCAGGGGCAAACCTCGGGCCATCCCTTCCCGAAGCGACAGGACCCTGTCCCCGAAGGGAGGCCCGGTGGTGACCTCGCAGAGCCCCAGGCCCGCTTCAGCCCGGGCGGCTCCCTGGGGGCTGCCCAGGGAGAGGTCGGCCACGAAATCCAGCACCGAGGTGCCCAGCAGCCCCTCCGGGCAGGGCACTTGCGGGGCTCTGCCGTGCAGCTCATCCAGCAGCCCAGGGCACTGGTGGGCTGGGAAAAGGCTGGCTGACATCTTACTTCAGAGAGGGCTTATTTTGGTCCCCCATCCCCAGCCCCGGCGACCTTAATATTTATAACCCCCCGGATAACAGGATTAGCAGGACTAGAAAGAGCGGCTGTAAAATTTCTCGCCGTGATGCTGATGAGAGGAGACAGGCAATCCCCTCGGGGACGCGTGGATGCTCCCGAGAGAGGAGTCCCCAGCGAGTCAATCCTGTCACAGCGATCAAGGACAGTTTCTTCTTGGCAAAACCCTCCGCTCTTACCTGCTGAGCACTTTTGTCTCTTCTTACACACCCGCAACAAAACGATTTTCAGCCTCCTTAAAGCCCCCAGGAGCAGAGCCGGGTCTCCACTGGGCTTGTTTTCCTGCTTTCTGTCGGGATCTCTGAACCCTGGGAGCCAGCCTGACAATTGATGTCAGGCAACTGCATGTATGCTTTTAATGATGTCCTGAAGAGGGGACCTGCATGCAGAGGGTCACCGGGGAATGTTTACCCTGTATCCCAGCGCAGTGGGAACTGAATGACAGGACCTCCATTAGCCTAAGCAAGCATTGTAGGGGACCCGATATTGCATTCCCAGTAGTAACTGTTGGAATCGTCTCTTCATTCCCCCTAAATCCCCTTCAATCAGAGTTCAAATATCTTTCCAGTAAAAGGCTGCTTCGTAAATCTCATTTCGGTTCAGGCAATCTCATAGCACTTGTTTGAAACTCTTCCTCCTGCCCGTGAGAGGAGGATAAGCTGGTCCTGCTCAGGGCAGCGGCTGCACCTTTGGTAGAGCCGTCCCGGTCACCGGCAGAGCACAGAGGAATCAACCTGAGCGCACGCACTGATAACGCTGGATACATGCTGCAAAATACCGTGAAATGCACATGAACATACCACCCACACACCCGACACCGCTGAATACCTTTCTTTGATCAAGGTTTCCTTGAGGACAGAAGCTGGGGATTGTTTTGCTTTTGTCTTGGGAGACTGGAAGAGAGGCTGTGTCTTCACCCTCCTGCACCATAGGCTCTCCCTAAATAAACAGTCCGGCCCTGGCAATCCCTAGCAGCGTCAGATACACCGAGGTCGAATCCGATCGATTTTCTTTGGCACACGATTTGTACACACAGCTCTCTCAGGAGTGACTGCCCATCACTCCTGAGCTGCCTTCTTAAAAGCTAATCTTCTCCTTTGTCATGCATTGTTGTCACTCTCGCTTTGAGGCTAATTAGTCTCTAATTTCTAAGGGGATTTCAAGACCAATGAGATCAAAGGAGGTGGATGGGGGCGGCCGAAGGATCCCTCTCCTCGAAAATACTTCCTGTTTGCCTACAGGACCGCAAACATTTCCCGCCGGCTACCGAGATTTGCCGTCATTGACAACTCAGCGAGCGAACTGCGCACCCCTTTCCCGGGAAAGGGGCAGCGGGCAGTCCCTCCCCGTCCCCGCTTGCCCGGCGGCGGGGCGGGCGGGCTGCGCGGGCTGCGGAAGGTGCGCGGGAGCCCAGGTACGCTGGACAGCTCCGCAGAGGGCCCGGGCAGCACCGCAGGTACCGGAGGGGACATCGCCACCACCCCCTCCTTCGGGACGACAACCAACCTGTCCCCATCCCATCCTGCGGCACCGCCACCGCCGCCGCTGCTGCGGCACCGCGGCTGCTCCAACAGCCCGCCCAAGGGTGGGTAAATAGCGAAGAATATTCTCGCTAGGGCTGAGGGGTTTCTTAGCTGCTAAGGAGAGAGCCGCTCAGAGACTTGCTTATTTGTAACTAATATGGGGCAATAGAACACCTGGTGAATGAAGCAATGAGGCAAGGAGGAACTGTAGAACATCTGTTGAGAGAGGTGTTGCCTAGGGAGCATCCAAAAGTAAGTTGAAAAGATGTAAATGTTGTTGTATAAAAACACTCGGTGGAAGAAAGATCAGATGTATATTTATGACTGACCCACAAAGGACCATGACTTATTTGGGCACCTTTTAGTTGAGGTGAAAAGTATTTAATTTACAGACACAAAGGTAAAAAATTAAGGACAAACGCCATGAAAGACATGTCTCAACAGAACTCAGAATTATCATGGAAAGACAACTACTTCAGACAGTGAAATAAAAGAATGGAAAAATATTAACTCATCACCTCTATGTCAAAATTCACATGAATTTACTGTCCTGTAGGAAACTGGCATTTAGCAGAGGACAGACCTGCCCTTCACCAGGGTATCTTCAGAGAGAAGCTCTTGCTCACCTCTCTAGTTACAGATTTTTGCAGGACACAAGCTACAAAGACAACCAGAGCTGGAAGAGGTTTATATTGCAGGAACATAAAGGGACAAGCTTTTCCAGCTAATAATACATCACAAAGTAATTTAACAGAAGCCCTAAAAGTATCAATGCTTCTTAAAGGAAGCAATAAAGACAGAACTATGACAGGACTGGAAGGTCCTAGCAGAAAATGAAGACTTGTTACCAAGGTGAATCCTTTTGTAAAGAGGATTTTTTCCTCTTTGTATCTCTTTCTATTCCCCCTTATGTTTTGCTAAAATATTGATTTTTCTCTGATATCAAATATTTTAGATTATATAGAATACACTGAATGAACTGTGGTTCCACTAATATGTGGCACTTTTTTTATTTGGTGATTTTTGTCACTTCGGGGAAAGTATGGAGCTGAGGCAATGTATAATGAGTACCCAATGCTGCAAGACACAGATTTTCACTGCCTAGAAAAAGCAAGAATGTCATAGAAGCAGAATGAATTCCCTTAAGAGGTTGCTTCATTACTCCAAAATTGTCTCAGACCAGATTAGGTGATCCAAAGTGTGTTCTAGATTTGTTTCAAATATGAATGTAGTTTGCTTTTTGACGCCTACCTTCCTTCAGCCCTCTCTTATTCTAGCTTTTCATTTCACTTGTTTATCAATTAAAAATTTGCTCACAAGGTGCTTACAGATGCTACAAACTGATGGCTACAATTTCAAACCACTGTGCAGCTATTTCCAAAATTAATCATTAGAAATATCTATAAAATTATTCTTGATGCTCATGTAGGGTTTGTGTTTAAAACTCAAACCACAACTTTTCTGATTTATTAGCCCTATCAGAAAGCTATATATATATATATATCCTTTTCTGCCCAGCCCTTTTATCACCTTGTGTGCTGTGTGCCTGTGCTGGTAATTGTCTACAGTATCACACAGGAAAATACAGCCACTCTGATAATTTGGAATTATTGATTGAGATGCTATAGATTTTAAGACTGACCTGTACTTTACTGAAAAATTCACTGTAAGTCAGCAGTGACTCTGAGATGAAGAAATATGTAGGTACTCTCCATCAGATATGACTCATTAAACAGGGACCTGAAAGGTGGTGTCTGCTTTGGAAACCATAAAAAGTTAGATATGCAGCTGAAAAAAATGTCTACACTTTTCTTTGTAGAATGGAAAAAAAAAAATCTTCCCTCCTTTTACTGATCCATTAATAGTTTGACAGCTGCTGTCATTTTCAAACTCTGGCATCAATAACAGAAGCAGATGGAGTCAGTGGGACACTAATGCAATCTCTTTAAAATTATTGGCATTGCAGTGATCTTCTCATTAAACTTAAAATTAGAGTAATGTCCATGGATCAGGACCTTACTACCTCAAAACACAGGACAGTTTCTGTCCTGTTGGACTCACAGTTTGCATTCCTGACAGGCCAGACAGGATCAGTACAGAATATATATGTGGAGATGGGGCCAGCTCACAAAGGAATAGAGTTTAGACAATATCTCATCTTGACCCTTGGTCAATCAGTATTGAAGAGGAAGACACTATGGACACCATTGATGAATTAATACAAAAAGGAAATATTTACACAAAGCTAGTTGAATACTGGTTGTTTTGGTGCTAGAAGAATGCCATAGTATTCAAATGAAAGCATAGCAAATGTGATTGAATGTGATATCACTGGAAGAGTCACAGAGTCCTCAAATGTCCCAATGTATTTTGAGATTAAATAGGCAGTGAACACTGGACTGTGATAGAATTTATGTTAGAAGATTTTATGTCTGAGTGACGCTGAGGGAGGCCTAACAAAATGTATAAAATGAATGAAAATGGTCAGTACTTTTTTGAGTGCCTTACAACAAAGCACCAGAAAGGAGGAGGCTGATGAAGTCAAGGTCAAAGCTAATACACACCAGAGGAATCAGTGCTTTGCTGTCTGAAATTGCTGGGAAAGCCTTTGGTACACCACAAACAGGTGAAGTGTAAAGAGGTGAGAACAAGGTTACCTCAGCCTGACTTCCTCAGATCTCATTTTCAGAAAGAATTGGTTGACTCCATCAGTTAGGGAAAATAATATGGGTACTAGAAATGGGCTCATTTTACCAAACTGCTGGATCTTATCCAAGCAACAAGTTATCATGGAGATGTTCTGATTCCTGCAGAGATAGGAGCACCTGTAGTAAACATCATGGTCCACTTTAAGTCTGTCTCTCCTGATGGGAGAAGCTTGGAGATACCATCTTCAGTTCTCTAGGATGAGCCTTAGCTCTAGAATTAGTAATGTATGAATAAAGACTAAAAGAAATCTGGTAAGATTTATATCCAGAGTATGTAGGCAAACACAACTGGATGCATTTGGTGCAGTGACCAGAGTTTGAGTCTGTAAGAATTCTCTGCATTTTTTTTTTCTAAATAGTTTACCTGCATAGACAGTTTAAGAATTAACTTTATTCCTGGCTGATGATATATGTATGAAAGCTCTGCTCACAAAGCAGGTGAAGAACATCTTACTAGTTCAGCAGTGGGATTACTTCTATGCTGAAAACCAGAATAAATTCAGTGAGCCAAAGCTTTACAGTCTGATCCTATCAGTAATTTCAGGCACTGATCCTACTTGCATCTGACTGTATTAATGCATTCCTCTGTCATGCCTGCCATTAATAGGACTCCAATTTGAATACAAGCACCTACTTACAAAGATCAGGTTTCACAACTTGGCTCTCTCAGACAAAAATGTGACATTCGGTAACAT